GCAGGATATAAGCTGTTCCAAGTAAAGCTGCCTTTTGCAATTGACTGAGGGTGATTTTGTCGATGCCGGTGGTCTTCAAGGGGTGCTCCAGACCTTTTGGGATGGGACCCAAGGCGCCTATTACTATTGGGACTATCTTTGCTTTCTTTTGCCACAGTCATTCTATTTTTTTTTGCAGGTCTTTGTATTTTTATTCTTATTGTTGTCTTTTGGGGTGGGTGGCCATACATACATTTAATAAATAGTAATAAAAATAATGATTACTCCTATTACTGCTGCTACCTTCTGCTTGGATTAAAAAAAAAAATTCTGGAAATCAAATTAAGTCAACTTCCACTGGCTATAGTGTAGACATCCATCTTTTCCATACATATTGGGCTCCCACAGTCCTTGCAAATATTGTCCTTTAATTAATCCAAATTTGTCATCCTGTGGTCATTTGACTTCTCTGATGGGTGCCTTTGTATAATATTCATTATACTGAGACCACCAGCAACCTCCATGTGGTATTTAATGTGAATTACCCGTAAAAACAAGGGGCTGGGCTTCTGTATCCCATAGCACAACCAGAGAAATATAATAGGCTGACTTAAGCCAACTCCCCACTAACAGTCTGAAGCATCATCACAGCATCATCCGGTCATTGTTAAAGTGATATGAAGCCTGTCCTCATTACTGCTATTTGGGCACAGTGATGGTGGGATGACTCTAGAAATTGTTATAAAGTGATCATGGGAATTATCTTAGTCTAAGTAACCTGTAGAAGTAGTAATTCAGAAACACAGCATTACAGGTCCAGACCCAACAAGCATATCAAAATAAATGCAGTAAGATAACGTGCAATAAGATAAGAAAATGGGCAGAATGGCAAAGCCAAGTTACAAAAAATAAGCTAAGGATGTTTCAACACTCTACCCCACATCAATCCAAAGTTAACTTGACATTAGTAAAGCATGAGTTCTACAGGCTGCACATGCACACTTAGGAAGAGCTTGTATATTTTAGGGCTTTTAATCTGCTAGAAGGTGATTAACATATAATTCATCTGTAATAGAAATAGAATGATATATAGATATAATTACCTCTCATTGTGGCACCATCTATTACTCTCATTCAGGCCCATTGCAGGATAAGCAATAGTATGCATTACCTTTTACAAATATATAGTAAAAATAAGTTTCATTCAAAAAGACCCTGATGACAAAATATACATGTCTGCTTCACTTATAATTAAGGATTAAGCCCTGGTAGCTTCAACTTTACACTCTAAGTAAAGAAATTTAGGATAAATATTCAAAGAAACGGAATGAGTTAAAATGTTTGAAACAGTGGTCTGCTTTACTGAATCCACAGTCCCGCAAGGGTATTTATGGTACTTGGAAAATCAAGGTTTTGATGCAATGTTCCACATGCTGTGATGCGTCTATAGCTACAAAGATCAGAACTCTGCAGGCAATAGTTTTCCCTGTGACAATCTATGGAAACAAAAGTTGGACTTTGAAGAAGCAGGATAAGAAGAGTATTGACACTTTTGAACTTCAGCCTTGGAAAAGACTCCTGAGAACACCATGGACAGCCAAGAAAACAAACAAATGGATCATTGAACAAATCAGTTGAGAGGTCTCACTCAAGGCACAAATGACCAGGCTCAAATTATCCTACTTCGTACACTTTATGCAAAGACCTGGCTGTCCGCA